CCATCCTGGATTAGCGTTGTGTTTCCATGGTGCTGGTGCAAGACTCACCTGCACCATGGAAATGCATGACATTGTGTCCTAACAGACAGAAGGCTGCTCTAGACTAGTCTCCTGAGTTGGCCTGACAACCTCTCCTCCTCCTTTCTATTATGTAGGAAGGAGATGTTTTGTAGTTCACAGAAGATGGCTTTGGAAGATGACCACATAGTTTTTGTGATTTCAGTTTGGTGCACAGGAAGTTACAAGGGCCCTTTTTGATATGGCTAAGTTGAAGAGGATTCTTTCTGTAGTTGGTCTGACAAAAGAAAACGAATGCACCACTACGTCATAGTGCTGGTAAACTACAATCTCTTCACATTTTTCCCTGTGTTTGGATATTCTTTTATGATCTTTGTGGGGGGGAAGCACAGTGGCGTAGTGGTTAGCGCTTCTGCCTTGCAGCACTGGGGGTCCCCCGGTTCAAAGCCCACTATCTGCAAGGAGTTTGCATGTTCATCCTGTTCTTGCGTGGGTTTCCTCCAGGTACTCCGGTTTCCTCCCACACACCAAAGACATGCTGGAAGGTTAATTGGCTCCTCTCTAAGTTGGCCCTCTATGTATGCATGTGAGATAGGGACATTAGATTGTAAGCTCCTTGAGGGTAGGGTGTGATGTGAATGTGCAACTATGTGAAGTGCTGCGTAAATTGTCGGCACTATATTAATACCTGTAATAAATAATTACTATGGAACTGAATAAAATTGTATAATTTTAGTGCCGTTATCACAGCACCATGTTAGATCCTTAATTGGTGTAAGCGCCCCTTATTCCTGGAAAGCACAAAAAACAAAACTGGTTTTCCTTTCACCAAATAAATTTTACAGTTTCTATAGCCCGTTGCTCTGTAACTCTCTCACCTCAACTTCTGGTTGGGGAGCGCACAGGGTTCATGTCAAAACAGTCACATGTTCTCATGCATCACCTTCTACATCAGTGGTTCTCAACCTCCTCCAGGGCCGGGACCCCTTGGTAACTTTTGCCAAGTTGTAGTGACCTCCAACTGTAAAATTTAGGGATGCACCAATACTAGTATCTGTGTGGGCTCTCAGGAGGCTCTGCGGGCTCTCAGGTTGCTAGTGGGACTCTGGTGGCGTCCAGTGCGGGCTCTGTGGTGATCAAGCATTCACCTCCCCTCACTCCTGCCTGCTCCCCTCTCTAATCCTCTCCGGCCGCTGCTGCAGTGCCATCTAGGAGAACTGACAGTGCCACGCTAGGAGGAGCTGAGGAGCCTTTTACCTAGAGCAGCACAAGGCACGTAGGGACCCCCTCAACTGTGGGTTGCGACCCACAGTTTGAGAACCACTGTTCTACATAAATGTGTGCACACTTGGTCTGCCTCTGGGCTTCTGATTCGTGCATGCCAGCGCACAAAATGCTGCCACGTATCAATGTGGTCTTGCCTGGGAGCATGCACATGAGGGTGGCTATGCTGGGGCTCCAGGTATCCCTGCAAAGGCAGGAAAGATGGGGAGAGGAACTTCTAATGCGGTGTTTGAAGAAATTACTAGACTTCAATGGAAAGTCAATAATACTTTTAGCCTCATATTTAAAAAAACCAGCCTGCTTGCTGTAAAAGGTGGACACACAGCAGCTATATTGTCAGTGTGTGGCAGCTGTCAATTCTGTGTATGTTGAGGTTTGTTTTTGTTTTTTTTCCATTTGTGACAGCATTTTTTGGCTTTTTTTTTTTTCTACCCCTACCTGACCAGATATCAATAACAAAATTGTCACCGCAGTGAACGCATAGTTCTGTTGGGTGAACCAAACCAAGGCAGATGAATTCATCCCTGCTAAGACAGTACATTTTTCAGATAATTGCTACAAGATAAATAATGTAGTTTTGATGTGTTGGGCACACGTTTTCCAGATCTCCATATGTGTATTGCAATAAAGTCCATTCTTTTACATACTGTAATATACGTATGGTCTTCATCTATTCTAGATTATGTATGGCTGATTTATATTTAGATTGCATGTGTGAGTTTCTTTTACCGTTTGCTTCTTTAGATGTTCTGTTGACCTTTTGACCAGATTACAAATAGTTCTCTCTGCAAGGACAACTGGTAGGAAGGACAGTGGAGGTGACCCGTTTTACTGTTCACTGTGACTGTTCTAATTCACCAAGTTTGGGATAGCTTTATCAGTGTTTTATAATTCTACATGTGTATTTTCCATACATTCAACACAGTGTGATTTTTCAGATGCAAAATGTCACGTGAGCATTTCTCAAGACAATCTAATATGGCAGACGTTAGATTAGTGTGGAGGAAATTTAAATCGGTAGCCACCATACAATAAAATTGTGTATGTCCATGATTCTTTTCAGAACATAGTATATGGAAATGGAGTTTTGTAGTTAAAATCTATGGAAGCTGTACATGTTCATTGCGGAGAGACCTTCCAGTGTATGGTCAGTACAGCTTACCAGGGTATGCGATGGCTGTTCTAACACTTTTTTGCAAAGTAACAGCTTCCCAAAAATGTTTTAACCCCTTCATGACTGAGGCCCTTTTTTCAATTTTTGCACCCATGTTATATTCCACATTTTAGGCCTGGAAAATTATGTAAAACCCCCCAACATTATATATTTTCTGAATGCCAAGACCCTATAGAATAAAATGGTGGTAGTTGAAAATTTTTATGTTGCGCAATATTAGCGCAACTCCTTATTAAACCCCAAAATTTAGTGACAAATTTAATTGATCACGAAGGGGTTAAATTTTCACCTTTTTTGTGTTTTAGATTGTGGTAATGACTTATTTACTCCACATTAAAACCAAACAAGGCCTGGAGCTTGGAATTGCGTGCACTGCAGAGTAGGCACTGCGGAACCAAGGAATTCAAAGTAGAAGTCCGCACACCAGTTTTAATCCAATAGCCTTGATTTATGTGTTAAGCTGGCCACAGACCTTACAACCAAGACTTTTGTCTTGCGATGGTTGTAAGGTAATAAAAAAACCATACGATCTGCCCATGTTGGACAGGCAGATCGTACTCCCGATAATCGCAAGCCGCTTCCAATGACCGCAATGCTGAACAGGCAGTGTGCGCTTTATCTTACGAACATGCCACACGCCCGCCGATAATCGTACGATTCTCGGCGGGTTTTCGAACATGTTCCTAAGATAAAAGTCGTGCGCCTGTACAGTAGAAACGGCCGCACGCCTTCCACACACCTTGCGATAATCGTACGATCGCGGGATTTCCCGCGATTACCGTATGATTATCGCAAGATGTGTGGGCACCTTTCAGGCATAGCACCAATGGCATTTCAGAGCCCATCAGACTCTTTAAGATGACAAGTAGTAGGTTTATTATTTTGGTGCCTGTGTTTACATTGGCAACAAGAAAACATGACAGAGCTTCTAGTCTATTTACCACTTAACGAAAAGTGTTTTTTTTTCCTTCTGTTTTCTTATTGGAGAGACTTCCACTCACTACTTCTCTGGGTTACTACCATCACTGGAATAAGAAATGAGAAAGATCCTCCCCATCAGGGATTGCAATGACAATGAAAGCCTGACTTGTTCTAACCCCTAGTCACTCTAATTAAAGCTAACACTATAGGTGTGGTTGGAGTTGCACTTTAATTGACACTGATGCAGTCACCCTACCATAACGCCAAACAACATAAAGGTGCAGGAGCTTCTCATAATGATGTAAAATTGCCTTGCATCTTCTAGAACCGCGCTATTTTCCACAGCAACATGTGTTCATTTGCATACCAGTATGGAATTGCTGGCTGAAACTTGTAGTTCCACAGCTTCTGAAGATTTATAAGTTGCTAGTCAGTGTTGGACTTTGGTGTACTAAAGTCACCATGTGGCAGATCCCAGCCAAGCTTCATTGCATAGGCAAAGCAGCAGAACAAATAATATGATATTAAACTTCCTGTGAAGCAAATGGACTGGGTGGGGCTGTCTCAATTGACTTCCATGTGGTATTTGTGTTATTTGCCTATGGGTTACCGTAAGTGTCACCCTTTTGTAGTAATTGGACTCCTTGTTTAGCTGTGAAAGATTTTCTTGGGATTGCTTCCTTGCACCTGTATACTATCCACAGTAAGCTAGTTCCCAATGCTTTATGTTATGATTTGGTTAGTGTTTAGAATTTTCGAAAATGGCTTAATTTGCCCAGTTTTACTTGTGATACTTTTTTTGTTTTTTATTTTCCCTTTAATGCCATTTCTCTGCTCTCTGTCACTGGCAACACCTTAGAAATTGAGTGCTTTTTAGTACTCTTGTAGTGTAAAGACTACTAGATCATGAATCTTGTACACTTCAGCTGTTCCGTATGACACAAAGTAACATTTGAGTATCTCCTGAGTTTTTTTTATAGGGCAGACAGTACATAGCTGTTAAAGTGCAGAACAGGTGCAGCCTATGAGCAATGTACCACTCCTGAATTCTTTTCGCTTTATTTTTATGCGTGTTTTTATCATTACTGTGCAAGAGTAGTTTTGACATTTCTCTCTTTTTCTTTATATGTGCACAGTCTGTCACAATCTTGCTCAGCAGCCAAACCTAGATTCCAGGTGCACGTCCTAGTCATTGAGTGTTGTGTACAGACAGAAATGTCCCTCCTCCTGTTCCTCACCCTCCTATGCCTGCTCTGGCAGTAGTTTCTGGGTGGGTCAATGTCATTAGCTGTAGTTATTTTTAAAGTCCTAAGAGGTGAGGTTTATCGTGCAAAGACAGAAAGAGGGCGTTTGTTTGTAGATCTGACATCAAAGTGTACTTTTCTGCCTACTGACTGCAGCAGGTAATCTTTGCAGCGTCATTCGGCTACTCAGATTAGAGCCTTGCTATTGCTGTTTATGAATTATTACAGTTCATCCTTCACACACATATTTTCCTATCTCTTCTGTTCCTCGTGGACTTTGGAGTTTTGGACTTCGATAAGGAATTTTGATTTTCAAGCAGCACAGCTAAGCAATCCTTTTTTTCCACTTGCTTTCACAGGATAATATTAATGTTTTCTTGCGGGCGTGCGAAAAACTCGGACTGAAGGAAGCGCAGCTTTTTCACCCCGGAGATCTTCAGGACTTATCAAACAGAGTTACTGTCAAGTAAGTTACAGCCCATGAGATAAAATAATGCTGCTTTTGTCTTTTATGTAATTGTTTTCAAACGTGTACTTTGAATAATGATGGTGGACTGTCAGGTGTAAAGCAAATAGGCTTTGCTAATGCGGTCTCTAATTGGACAAGTGTTGTGCTGGTGTAAAGTAATACAGCAAGTCTGACCTGTATTGTATAGATTCAGGCTAATCTTGGAAGCACAATACATTTAATTTACACATGGTTCAGCTTATTCATGTTAACTCCATTTATTTAAAATGCAGATCTAGCCCATGATAAGTTTTTCATAGTGTGAGGAGCATATATATTCTCTAAAATGTGCTAAGGTGACTATTACTCATGCAATTCTAATCACTGTAGTTAGGGACGTAAGTAAATCTAAATGTGCACAGAGGAGATATTTAATCTCAATGGCCTGCAATCAGTACATAAGTATGCAGTATGTACTTAAGTATGCAGCACCACCGTTAAGTTGCTTTGCCAGAAGCACATCCCGCTTGGATGGCACAGGCGTTGCGTTTGATAAAAAATTAATAAACATTGGGCATTTTTACTATTACCTTTTATCTCTGTTACATTTATTTTGTGGTATCATTTTGTAAACTTGGTCTTGGGTTTGGCATACACAAGAGGCCTCGAAAGGAAGTAAAATGTGGCATGTTTTCAGTGGATTTACGTACATGAACGACTGAAGTCTGAGCTGTGTCTACCATGCATTTACATTGCACTCCCTGTGACTTGTATAGAGAAATCAAATGATGTATGGCAAACAATAAACATAAGTAATTACTGCTCCATATTTTACAATTCCAATTCTGTGGTCCAGAGCTTAAAAATGTTTCAGAAGAAAAAGCCCATATACATTAAGCCTACCATTGATCTGCAAATGCCCTCTGAACGCATTTGGGGTAAAAGATGTGGCTTGCATGATCAAAAACACCATTGCAGTTTTGTCCTTGTGCCTTGTATAAATATGTTGGTTACACCTTGATCATAGGACACAAATTGCACAACTTTCTGCAAGTAATTTCATGAACTGTTTTTCTGTTGTCACAATCCTTGCGTGTGTATTTTTGGAAAAGGTGCAGATTTATTGCTATTAAGCGTTGATGAAGATATTAATGCTTGAGCATCATTGTGACATATTGTGACTGCTGATGGAATGTTGTGTAAGTGTGTATATAAATGTAAATTCAAGCCTACTCCGAATTATTCGTGATAATGGTGACCATTTTGGAACGTTCCATTTGATGCAAAAGTTAATCCAGGTTTCAGTCATCTCCCGATTCATACTGTAATTTTATAAAATATCCTAGTGAGGCAATATGTGGTTATTAAAGTAGGTAGATTTCTCCGTGAGACTTACAGATGGAACCTTCTGGCAGCTACCAGGTTTATCTGTGGTTTACATTTCCTCTTTTCTCCATAATAAATGGGAAGATTGGTGCTTGCTCACACAGATTTTCCCGCAAGTGAAAACTACGGTCTGGGGAGCTTCTGACAGACAGTCATACACATTCTATAGAAGCCCAGTAATTGCCCATTGATGGCCACTCTCAAACTAAAGCGTGCACTATAGCATTCTAGTTGCTGTTAGTTACTGCGCTTTTGCATAGCACAATTTCTCTTATAACATTTCTTAGGCCTTCTTGCAAAAGGATGAAGTGTTTTCCAGGCTACTGAAGACATAGAATGACTTGTGTGGTTCTGCTCTAGAGTATAATTATGATTCCTAGGAGAGCTACATGTTTTGGCAGGTTAGATAAGAAGCATATTTTTAATATGTTGCACTTTCACAGTTGACATTGGTAGTAAAGAATTTCAGTGTTTTTCTGTATTTGGACTATTAGTTTGTGAAATTTACAGTTTAGATCTTGTGCCTTTTATACTGCCTCTGGTTGCACAGGACATATGTGGCTACCGATTTGGAATTTAGGGACCCTAAATGTATTGGGATGTAATATTTGTTTACATTTTTAAAGTGTAGCTGTATATTTGGGTAAGAAATCAGAATATGCCTCCACCTTCCTCACAATGTCAATTGCCTTAGACCCAAGGTGTAGATGCTCCCCCATTTTACTGTTCTGGCCTTTTATAGTACTGGACATTGTTTTATTTAAAATATTAAACTGGACATGCCTGTGTTCTGCTGCACAAAAGCATTGTCCAGCCCATTGCAATGAAAGGAACAGGACAGATTCTGAAAAACCATTAAAAAAAAAGCTGTGTGTTTTTTTTTTTTTGATTTGTGTGGAGTAAGGATTAAAATGACACTAAACTCAGGAATTAAACCTTTTTATAATGCACTCAAGTAACTTAACTATTAATAAAAATGTACTACATCTGTAGAGCCTTAAATCTTGTCTGAATTGGTGCTGACACTGATCTTCCGGACGGTGGCTACTTTTGTTTTGTCTCTGTGTGCTATAAAAGTAGCCATCGCTCCAAGCTCACTCCTGTGATGGACTACAATCTCAATACACATTAGTAATGGTAAAGGTGAGATTTTATTCCATCACTGGCACAAATTTGGAGCTGTGGTTTCTTTACAACACCCATGGGGAACAGAAGTAGTCACCCTCCAGAAGGAAGGACAGTGTCACAAAAAAATTCTGAGATTATTTAAGAATCCACAGATGAGTGATGCACACGTAGGATACATTTTCGTTAATAGTTAAGGTACTTTACAAGCATTTTAAAGATGTAACTCCTGAGTTTAGTGTCACTTTAAAGCAAAAAAACATTTTGTGGACACCACCAGGTCAGGGAGTCGTTTAAAAGCGAACACGGCCAGTGGTTTAAAATATTGCTTTCAGTTTCCACGTTGGACATTTTTTTTTCTCTTCTGGTTGACATTTATACCTCTCCAACCCTCCCCTGCACTATGTATAGTAAATGTTGGTATTATTGCCTTTTTGAGTAAAACAAAAAGTAGATTTTGAAAATCAGATTTAGACATTATAGCATTACAGGAGGACCTGGAGAAAATCGGGGAGTGGGTAACTGTATGGCAGATGAAGTTCAATGTCGATAAATGTAAGGTAATGCACCTTGGAGTTAAAAATAGGCAAATGGACTATACACTTATGGGTGTGCCACTAGGGAAGTCGGGAACGGAGAAGGATTTGGGGGTCATTATAGACCGCAGATTGAAGAGTAGCTTGCAGTGCCAGGCTGCTGTAAACAAAGCAAGCTGAGTCCTGTCTTACATTAAGAAGGGAATGTATTGCAGGGACAAGTCTATAATTTTGCCACTTTATAGATCACTGGGTCGGCCACATCTGGAGTATGCGGTCCAGTTTTGGTCACCGATACTCAAAGGATGTCTTTGAGCTGGAAAAAGTCCAGAGCAGGGCAACCAAACTTACTAAGTGGTTCGTGGACCTGAACTATGAAACAAGGATGTTAAAATTAAATATGTTCTCTTTGGAGGTTAGGAGATGAAGGGGGGACATGATTTTCCTGTATAAACTATTCAAGGGCGACAGCAACATTATTGCCAAACTGCTTATGGTTAGCTCTGTAACAAAGACCAGAGTGCACAACCAAAAATTGGTGGAAAAAATTTCAACACACAGGGCGCAAGGGGTTCTTCACAGTCAGAGCGGTTAAGGTCTGGAACTCGCTGCCGCAGGAAGTGATCTCCGCTAAGAGTGTGGAATCATTCAAGAAACTCCTGGACGAGTTCCTCGGAGACCATAATACACAGGGGTACAGGTACGCCTAAGAGCAAAATCCCACATGGACTAATACACATGCACACACCTGCTCAAACATAAATGCATACACACAATAGGTTGGACTTGATGGACTTATGTCTTTATTCAACCTCAAATACTATGTAACTATGCAGGATTATAAAGTACTGCACATTCACTGCTGTCACTGTTGATGAAAATCATGATGTGTCCCGTGGCTCATTCCCCTCCTATCATTCTTGATGAGATCTGGTCTTTGTACAGTCATATGTACTATATATTTGGCTCTGCTAAATTTTCACACTGACCACTTTACACCATTCTGTTCTTGGCTTACAGTTTCAGATATGTTTAAGTATTTTAAGTAACATTGAGGCTTTCACTAGCTCATGTGCATGTGGGCTCTCTGAATGGTTAAACCTCTGATGTTACTTACTTACTTAATTGCCACAACAGAAATTAAGGGCTGTCCTCACTTGACCTACTCCTGAAAAATGCTAGTCGTTTGGCTTTAATGCGGACACACTGGGTTTAATACTTTCTAAGTTAGTGACCCAGAACAAGTATGGTAATCAGGAAAGTTACAAGTCCTCATCTGCATACTTGCTCTAAATTCTTTACTCTTAATTATTGAGGCAAGCAGGGTCAGCACAGCAGCCAAGCAAATAACAATTTCAGAAGGAGAGGTATGCAATAGCAGCCTCCATGTTTATCTCATGATGGATTTCTATTCATTGTTACAAGAGGTGCGTCGAAATGGAAATTTTAAAAACGAAACCGAAATTAAAAAAAATTGTCAGGCCAAAACCGATACTGAAAATGTTTTATTTTAATTTTTTCAAATTTTTCAATTTTTTTTTTTAATAAACGGACCCTTGATATTTCCCTTTTAAAATGGAAAAAGAGATTGAGGACACAGTCTCTTTTTCTGTATCCCCTGTTATCAATGAACAGGAATAGTCTGAGTGTTTCTGTTCATTGATAACATGAGGACATGGTATGTTTACTATAACTATGAATGAACAGGAGGGGATGTAGATCACTTCCCATTCATAAATGAGGATATAGTTAAGATACCATGTCCACAACTAACCACTTGCCGTCCGCCCGTTGTAAAAAGACGGACGGCACTGCAGCATTGGCGGGTTGCCGTCTATGAAAATGTTTTATTTTAATTTTTTCAAATTTTTCAATTTTTTTTTTTTAATAAACGGACCCTTGATATTTCCCTTTTAAAATGGAAAAAGAGATTGAGGACACAGTCTCTTTTTCTGTATCCCCTGTTATCAA